AGAGAAAGTTCGGTTCCCGATGCTTTAGAAAACGACTCTTATTTCACGAAAGATCATCCTTCCTCTGATGGCCAAAGTCCGTACACATTCGAACTCAAAAAGTCACTGGCTCGTTTGGAAATTGGCAGTTCAGCTGATGGTCGTCGAAAACGACGACACGCACTAACTGTTCAAAGGAAGCGTCCCATAGAGCGTCCTGTATGCAATCTTGCAGACCCGGACCACCTGTCCTGGCGAAATGAGATGGCGGAGAAGAATGATCCTCTCTCTGATTCTTCTGTTACTTCAGTGGACAATTACGATCGACCTTTCCGTCAAAGCAAATGGATTCTTCCTCCAACACCTAGACCCAAAGGAAGCTCTCTCAAATAAATTCCTATTTGTCTCACCGTGGTCGAATATCACGTCGTCCTGATCGAATGTGTCGACTTACTCTTTTGGATCGCCTTCTTTTGGGGCTGAACTGCAGTGTCTCCCAGAATGATGACGAGATTCACGTGAAACGATTACACAAAGATGAGCTAAGTATACTAACCCAGCGTATTGATAAAACTGGGTTTTCGGTGCATTCACTATCAGTTCGTAGAAATGCTAATAATGATGCAGAGTACAATATTGTATTGACATTCTCACCGAACGCTGACACAAACGTACGGCGTGTAAGATGCGGTTCCTTAACTACACGTACTAGACTGCTTGGTTCCGGTCATTCATCCGACGGTTCTCGTGAATCTGCAACATATTCGGGTACCAAATCGAAGTTAAAATCTCGCCAGTTGGCCATACGTTCTCTTGAGAGACGAGGGTCTTCCCGGAAACGATTTCTCCAGAATAACGTGGATCATTCTCATCGGCGTGCAGGTTCTGTTCATTCGATTGGTTCAGGTTATCACAGCGACACTGATGTGTTTTGTAAGAAGCTGCATCATACAAAACTCAGACGCGCTTATTCAGATACCGATTTGGTGGGCCTGCAGCAGAATGCTAATGAATCGGGTATTTCAATAGGTCAACGACCTGTTGAATCCCTGTCGAATCAAATAAATATTCCGACTTTAAATTCTGAGGTCAATACGGAAAGGCATTCTCCCGTGATTGCAAGTGGACCCCTCCCACCTAATAAGGAATGGCTTCGTTCGTCTACGTTGGATCGAGTGCCTTCATGCGCCAGTGAGCGTCATTATCCTTCGGATCCGGTTGCACAAAAACGTGTGTTGGGAATGCCCCGAGCGGTTTTGGAACGTCAATCGTATGATGAGGTCCATCCTATGACCGCTACTTCCACTGCTCACGGGATTTCAAAGCGTGCGCTTGGTTTAGACACTCATAATTCGAACCATATGGCGCCGTTCCGCAGACATAGTCCACGCAAAGTGATTCGTAAGGTATACACAGGTAGTTCAACAATACCAAAAATCCTCAATAGAAAGCGACCTACTGGTTCTCCCAGCGTGAATTTATCCGTCCCGACTTGCACTGCCCAATCAAACCAATCAATGTTAACTTCTTTGTCACATACACTTCCAGCGAGTGCGAATACAAGCTCTGCCTTGAATTCTCTGACCACAGCAAGCAGTACCACGAACGTAAGCAGCTCTACGGCGTCGACTATCCTCTTTGAGGAAGCGACATCGAATCTATCCGTTTGCCCACCGACCTCAGTCGCGGGGTTTTCATTTCAGTATCGTCGCTTTCCGACACCAGTCATGCCGGTAGCGGTGGTACCACCATCAACGAAACTTGTGGATCATTCTGTCAGCGTAACTCCAACTGCGCCTACTTCGGCCTCGTTATTCAATGATAGTCGTCTCTCAGGGGTTTTCCGATTCAGACCAGTATCCAGCATTCCTATGGGGCCCGTGGCCACTAAAACTCCGGAAAGAACGCATCTAACCGAATTGTCGGCGGTTTCCTCCATGGATGTTAAGCGTTCTAATACAAATCCACCCTTTTCTGTGATGGACGATGTTAATGTGCCTACTGTGGATGAAAAAATGGATTCTCCAAAGGTGACCGATGAACAGGTAAGTCATTGTTGTTATATACGCCAGTTCATTTATTATGAAATGCGGGGAGTTCGTTTTTATCTCTAGGGATAGATAAGCTTGAAATAAAAGCACTGTAGAAATCAGACTAGATCACTAGACTAGATTTCTATTGATGAAAGGGATGTGTACTTCAGGTGAACTTTCTATAGATTGTTCGTTGTGCGTGTAGTTCAGTGTTGTGTGCAAGAGCAAATCATAAAGTAGTTGCAGAGTGTGGTGAACAAATAAACGTTCACTGAACTGCTACAAAGTACTCGAACAAATGTTATGACTGAGATGATATTAGAAATGACGTTATTCTTCATACTTGAGTTTTTAATGACTTCTGTCCTGGTACACCCCCAACAAGCGATTAAAAACAGTTATATAGTTCGGTCCCTGTTTAGTTTCTGCGATTAACCTTGTTCTTTCGCTCAGCGGTTTTGATTGCCGTCTTTTGGTTCCCGTTTTGGATGAGGAATTAGAGAGCAAAATTAAATAGCTGGGAGCGGTGTCAGTGTTAAGATAAAGTTTCAGTTTTCACAACCATCAACCATGCATTTTCCTGCGCCGGTTTTGGTTGCTGTCTTTCGACTGCTCATTTGGATAAAAAGGTAGAATGAAGATTGGAATGTTGAGAGCAGAGTTACGATAGAGAATCCAAGTAGATATGATATCGAGTAGATACACTATCGCACTGTTAATTACACAGCCATGTCACTCATTGTCCCTAACCGCCGAATAATCTTAGCTCATGGTTCGCAGCCGAAAAGGCTGGAGACCTCGGGATTATGTCACCGATGGTTAGAGACACTAAGTGAAATGGCTGGGTGTCGCAAACTGCTGCTCATGCATCCACTCATTATTCCCCTAACACCGTTCTATATGAATCCTCCATCTTCCGCTTGAATTTGTTTTCTACATTCCAATCTTCATTCTGCTCTTTTATCCAAATGGGGCACCAAAAGACAGCAACCAAAACCGGTGCACGAAAGTGCATAGTTAATGGTTGTAAAAACAGAACAGAACAGTTAGACTGGATGTGAGCTGCACCTACCCAGCCCTGTATCAACATTTTACACCTTGGAGATGCAAAACCCATGCCGAGTACAGCTTTACTAGGACTCGTACCGTCCAGAAAACCCAGCATCATCTGCTTACTACAGATGAAATGACTTACCAGTGTGCGTCTGTTTGTGGGGTATATCAACGCCGTTGTCGGCGCACGAGGACAGCTGTTTCCGGAATATCCATTACAAAGTTGAATGTAACCCCGATGGGCAGCTCTGTGGTAAATCCGGGCAAAAAGCAACAAGCTTGAGCTCTGCTCTGACTGCTGGTATAAAGAGATCAAATGATGAAACAAACGACTGGCGTACCCTTCGGGGGGACTGGAGACCCCAAGGTACAATGCGGCCGACGGAGTCGAATTACGGTTTTAAATCAAGGAAAACAAGTTGTGGGTCTACAGAAGGAATACCCGTGTTCCAGAAACTACCACAGCGAAAATATGTTGAGAACACCCTCGACCAGGTTGAAACCAGTCTGGTTCTCACGCATACATCGTTCACGTGCAGCAGACGATAGACGGAGTATAATAATGGGGAGAAGCTTCGATATGATGGTGATTCAACTGTTTTTTGCGAAGGAACCTATTGTCTTGTAAATCATTCGATTCAGTTGGAACTTGTTTCGTTTCCCATACCGGACCCAGGATTTTTTTTCTCAATTCCAAGATCAAGATCGAATCTCTATCCTTACCAATCAATACGATAACCTACTCAGGCCACAGGCCTTATTTCCTGAGTAACCTCTATCTTGGAAGGAAGACCGATGTTAAATGGTAGTAGTTGTCCACTTCAAACAAAGTTAACAGATCGATTATTGGTGGAAGCCTCTTAAACTGTACCCTAAAATGTTTTGACCCATCACTCTAGACGGAGTTGCTGGATGTGAATCAGTGTGCCATCAGACTCTTTTATGCCTCTTCCATGGCCCCGTCTTCCTGATTAGACAAGGGATAACGATTGTTGCCAATAGTTGCAGCTATTTCCATCTGTACATCTTGCTACTCATCATTTCTCACGGTCATTCCTCAGGTTCGTGATTAGCTGGCGTTTGAGGAATTCGCTCATAGATTCTTATTTGACGTCGGGAGGAATGGCTCTGCTGCCACAAGATTGGGTTGGTCCAGTCCCCAACCTCACTCTTACTGGGGAAGTAGTAGAGAAAGTAGACAAATTTTCGCTCTTTGGCAGCCATATCTCACCTAGTGGACGCTCTACGGTGCTTAGACTTGGCCAGTACGAGAATAAGATAAAAATAGATTGTCGGTGTTCGAACACCGCTGCCTACGCTGCAGTGAACGAGTGCGATGGGAAACCGGACAAGCAATGCTGATGTTAGACGGCGAGTTTTAGGTAATCGCGGCCGTCCACTGGAACAATTGATAGTAGTTGTGAACTTGACCTACCTTGAGGATTGATCGCAGCTGGAGGTGGTGTCGGAGAGATTGCATCACAATGAGAAAAAGCTAGGGCAGCTTTTGCCAATCTGCTTTATCTGTTGCGCCACTCTTAAGGCAAGGGTGTGCATCACTTTGGCTCATAATGTTATGCTTTACTGTTACGAGGCCTGGTCCCTCATGATTAAGGATGCTTATTAGATTTTTATATCCGACTTCCGATGCC